GCTGTCGATGAGAACAACCATAGTCCCTCTGCTGATTACCGCTTGTCTGCGGTATGAAGAGTCACGTTCACTAGTCATATCCTTTTTGCTGCCTGCCGCATATCTGCGGGGTGAAGAACCATGTTCATTCCTCCTCTCCTTGGGGGAAGGGATCAATCATTTTCATTGATTGACAGGAGCATCCACTTTCGCTGAATAGATGGCCAAACACTCTTGCTGCTGATCTGGGACCTTCAATTGTTGAGAAGATCAGCCGCTCTCGCCCCGGGCCAGACCAGCTGCGTTTCAGGGAAGTGTGATTTCGCTTGGAGACGGATGACGCAAAAACAGTGCTGGGAGGACCAGCGCATGTAAGGCATTAAGGATTGACCTGGAGTGAGAGAGAGAGAGTGTGTGGCGAGAGAGAGGGGGTGTGCGGAGAGACTGAGAGAGAGAGTGGGAGGATCAGACTGCGCAACGTGCTCGAGAGAGAAAGAGAGAGACAGGGGACTGAGGAAGAGTGAGAGAGCTGATTGTGAGAGAGAGAGAGAGAGAGAGAGAGAGAGAGAGAGAGAGAGAGAGAGAGAGACAGAGAGAGTTAGTTAATAAGAGAGGGCAACGAGAGTGGTAGAGCAGGATCCCGAAGGACGATGGTGAACTGTTAGAAGACCTGGGAGATCTCCTCGCTGCTCTGAGCCTTGTGAGCTGGCCAGCAAATCATCTTAGAGGAAGCATCATTTTCGAGAAATTGCTGAAAAGAGCCTTGATTGGCTCGCTGCTCAACTCATTTTCAGGAAGGTATCATTTTGGAGAAAATATTGAAAAGAGCCTTAATTGGCTAGCTACTCAAATCATTTCCAGGAAAGTATCATTTTCGAAAAATCGTTGAAAAGAACCTTGATTGGCTCACTGCTCTGAGCCTTGGGAACTGGCCAACATATCATTTTCGGGAAATATTATTCTTGAGAAATTATTGAAAAGAGCCTTGATTGGCTCACTGCTCTGAGCCCTGCGAACTGGCCAGCAGATCATTTTCGGGGGATATCATTTTTGAGAAATTATTGAAAAGAGCCTTGATTGGCTCACTGCTCTGAGCCTTGCGAACTGGCCAGCAGATCATTTTCGGGGAATATCGTTTTTGAGAAATTATTGAAAAGAGCCTTGATTGGCTCACTGCTCTGAGCCTTGCGAACTGGCCAGCAGATCATTTTCGGGAAATATCATTTTCGAGAAATTATTGAAAAGACCCTTGATTGGCTCACTGCTCTGAGCCTTGGGAATTGGCCAGTCGATCATTTTCCGGAAACATCATTTTTGAGAAATTATTGAAAAGGGCCTTGATTGGCTCGCTGCTCGGAGTCTTGTGAACTGGACAGCTAATTATTTTCGGAAAATATCATTTTCAAGAAATTATTGAAAAGAGCCTTGATTGGCTCGCCGCTCCGAGCCTTGTGGATTGGACAGCAAATCATTTTCGGGAAATGTCGTTTTCGAGAAGTCGTTGAAAAGAGCCCTGATTGGCTCCTTGCTCTCTGCCAAATGAAAGCTAACGTTCCCTCTTTGGCGGCTTCGCCGCTCTTCTGATTGCGCGGAGGTGAGCTGATCCGAAGAGAACGGTAAGAGGATTGAACATTCCTGCGTGACACGGAGGGATCGATTCCGACCGAGATTACTGTGAAATTTTCGCAAAGGAAAATATCTTAAAATGGTCTGTGGTTAAGGACCAAGAGTGACCTTGCTGAAAGGGACAACCCTGCTGGTCGCTGAGGACCTCGGAAGCGGGCGCGGCGAAGTGACAGGCGTCGTAGTCCATGGCTTCAGCGAACGGTAGGTAGCCCCTCCCCGGGTTTCCTCACAACTTTGGCGTCGTTGCCGGGGAGGGGAGCAACACCCCCAAGGTCGCGGCCTTCCCCAACCAACGGGGGTGCACGGGCTGATTAGTCAAACACTAATTAGCTTGTTTTCTTGATTAGTTTTATTTTTTATAATAATTTTATTTAGTTTTTTTGAAATATCTCCCGATCCGCGCGCTTTCGTGTGAGCCGCGCTGGGAGCAAAGTTCGCCCTTTCGTCGAGGCGAACGTTTTGAGACGTTTTTTGAAAAATTCTAACGGCTAGAAAAAAGATATGGAATTTTTTGTATTTTTCTAATTGAAAATTCCAAAAATCATGAGTTAAAATTTCTAATTGGTTTTTCCTCGATATCTCCTGATCCGCGCGCTTTCGTGCGAGGCGCACAGGAGCAAAGTTCGTCCTCTCGTCGAGGCGAACGTTTTGAGATATTTTTTGAGAAATTTGAACGGCTGAAAAGCGAGATATGAAATTTTTTATACTTTTTGATTAAAAATTCTAAAAATTTTGATTTGCGTTTTATTGAAATGGTCGGGAAAATAAGCGAAATTAGGGGAACCCCGCTGGGACCAAAGCTGGTCCCTGTATTTTTCCCGCGAGCTCCAACAGATAGAAAAGGTGGAAGAAAATCAACGGGAAATTGAATTTCTTTGTAATTTTGTTTAAATTAAAAGAAAAAGGAATTAAAAAATGTAATCCAATAAGTTTTTCTTCTAAAACTAGTGAAAGCTAACAAAAATTTTCTCGCGTCTAGCAGGGCTTTGCGATGTTTGCGCGGTTGCGCGCAAAATCCAAAACCCGTTAGGGGAAACCCTAATTAGGGTGAAATCCTAACCCCAATTTTGAGAGAAGCGGGTAGATAGAGGGAGGCCATAGCTTCTAGCTTCCGCATTTGTTACGGATTATTTTTTGTCAAATATATCCCGTAAGATTGTGGAAATTAATTCGGGAAGTTTTGCCCCATTAAATAATTAAGAATTATTTTACTTTTGATTTTGTTATTTAAAATCAATAAAAAAAAAATGAAATAAATATTAAAAATTGCGTAGGGACATTTGTTTGACTTCAATGCTCTTCATATCTACTTTACCTATTTGAGGGACTTTTTTCCGGACCCTATCCCACCGGGGGGAAGGAAAACTGCTGTCGAAATTTCTCGAAATTTTCCTTTTAATTTAAATTTTTGCTAATTAATTAACAAAAATATTTAAAAATCGAGTTAAATCAATTTTTCTTTCTTTTTCATTATTCTTTTGATTTTCCCTCTTCGGCAGCGCTGTTTGAGGGCTTCGCCATAACCCCATCCCAACAGGGGGAGGCGAAACGCTGCTGAAATTCTAGTAAATTCTATTTCTACCCCTAAAAACCATCAAACTCGTCGGACTTATATATGTATTGATCCTTAATATATATAAACTAAGAAAGAAATTTTATCCTAACTAAATACATTTTTTTAAATTTATAATTGAAAAATACAAAAGAAATCCCTAGAAGAAGCAGGGAAAGAGACGCTGCGGTAACGTGGTTTCGGGTGAACCTACTAGCTTGTTCCCAAAGGGGTGAGGCAAGCGACGGAAATTTTCAGTTATTAATCTACACCTAACTTACCTCAGCTGCTAGACAGATGACCTCGTAGCCGTCTGGAAGATAAGGGAGTGAAAATAGAAATTGGAAGCTCTTGGAAGGATAGTGGAAGCTAGAAAGGTCGATGGGCGACCTTGGATGACAGTAGGAGGGCCTTTAGCGAGCTAACCGATTCAAGACAGGGCTAGGAGAACTAGCAAGGAGGACGGAGATAGACGCTCGGAGACTCTTGAGGGGTGTTGATCAGGAGTCGTTGGCTAGGTTTGGGACTGCGATCTGTCTCAAGGATAGAGGTCCTGTCACGGGTGTACTGCAGATCCGGGGAGGCACGTCCTTGTTGGCCGATCCCGAAGGAGAGGTTTACTTAGACACAGGGATTCTTGGGATAGAGGGAGAGCACGAGATCCGCGACCGGTACGGGATACTGGAAGTGGTAATGAAAGCAGTCGAGAGCTAAGATTGGAGGCGGACGCGAGCCGTGACAAGAAAACAGGTCCGGGCTGCCCCAACTATCACAGGTCCGGGCTGCAGCGACTGTCATAGGGTCGGGCTGTAACAGTTGACTAGAATACCTAACTGCATCTTCTGGCGGTCCAATGGAACCCGACACGATGGGGCCACAACCGACCACGGGCGAAGCGGGAGAGGAGTACAGGACATCGCCCGATCGAGCTCTGAGGGATCTGAAGGAACGAATTAGGCGAGAAGTACCGCTGAGATGGGCTGACCAAATCAATGACGGAGGGCCCGACGTAAGGGGCGAACCGGTTGCGACAGAGCCGCAGGAGGCTCTAAAGACGGGTACCTCGAGCGGACGACGAGAAGCGACGAGGCGACGCTCCCCCGAGTACGAGCGGAGGGACACCATAGCGGACAGGCACAGAGACGAATGGAGAGAGAGTTTGAGGGATTCCTATTGGAGGGACAGAGATAGAGACAGGGCGCCGCCCAAGCGAGTCTCCGACCCCCAGACAGGGGAGTCACATCCGCTCCCTTACGAGAGCAAGGATCGCTATATTATTACGCACAAGGCCTCAGAGCCTCCTACCTTCAGGGGCTATGGTATCACAGAATATCTGGAGAAGTGGGAGTTTCACGCCAGCCGGAGTCAGTGGTCGGAGGAAGAGATTATAGAGAACTTCCTATTTAATGTGGACCCAAGTCTCGGTAGGGAAGTTAAGGAAGCTCGACCGAAGGATGGAAAATGGACTACGTACAAGAAGAACCTCGTTCAGCTTTACAAATTGGAGGATAACAAGTATTCCATCAAGGACCTTGAAACAATGACTCAAGATAAAGATGAGAGCGTACGGGCATTTGGGATGCGTTTCCAAAAGATCTCTGACGTGCTGATGAAGAAGGGGAAGATCTCAGAGGTCGAGCGCTGTACTATCTTCATCGGACACTTGTCCAAAGGTAGCCAAAAGAGTATACTTAGAGATCTTCCGCGCGACAGGCTTGATTTCTCAGAAGTCCTAAAGCTCGCGATAAAGGCAGAGGCAGACGATTACAAGGGCTTGATGTGGAGAGGGATGAGGATACGCGACTTCTTTCTCTACAAGGAGTATGCCACTGATAGATGTCCTGATTTCAAGGACTATCCCTGGTCGGAGAAGAATGAGGTCGTGGCTGAGGAAGTGAAGGAGATACGGGACATGGTGAAGGGATTGACGAGATAGGTTACAGAGATTGTGACCACTTCAGGGGCCACGGCCTACCGGGATAAACCTAGAGGGCCCTATTCACTTCGCTGGGACCGTAGGAACAACGATTCCTGGAGGAGTGTCGAGGATAGAAATCCTCGGACGCTGACTGATTA